ATGTACTGTTAGATTGCCCAACATGTTATAATTAGACACAGGAACCTAATCCTGTATTTCCCTTAGGAATTCAGTTTTCATCAATTCAGTATTTCTGGCAACTTCAAAGAATGTTAACTACTGCAAATAACGAGAATCAATTGTTATGTGAGTCAATGGAGAGGGAGAGAATTCTTTCCAAAATTAAGACAAAACCTATAAAATAGTTTCTGTCTTCTGTTTTTCACACAAAAAGTGCTGGAGGGGCATGTCTTACAACTAAGGTACATACATTGCTGTGGGGGGACCTGGGGAAGCCCCTCAAAGAGACAGTCATCCTCCAAGTCAACTGAAACTGATAGACAACAGGAGGCCTGTGTGAATGCTGATCAGCAGAAGAATGCCACATGCATACACATAATTATTAAGTCACTGTAGGTAGAGAAAAACAAACAATGGTTTCAAATATGAGCCCATATCAAAAGGCAGTAGACTAACTTTGAATTTTATGTGCTAATGTGCCATCAGGTATTTTTTTTTTCACACCAGCAATTTCAAGTAACCAGCAAAACGGTAAATAGGTGAAAAGATTTACTCAATAAAAATCTGTCTCAGAAATCATATTGGTGGGCAASCAAATAGTGGAGAATAGCCATCACAGAATTATTTATTTATTATTTTTGAAATGCTGGTCTCACTAAGTTACCCAAGCTGGTATTGAACTGTGAGCCTCCTGCCTCAGCATCTTGAGTAGCTGGAACTACAAGTGTGTGCCACAGTGCCTGGATTGAAATTTTAAAAGTAACCCTGAATGATTGACATGAATTCACATACGATGCAAACAAGGAAAAAATTCATTATTTTCAGTATTCTTAAGCTTTCATCTAACTATCTGCTTTCAGGACCCAAAAAATAATCATATCTGATCCCTGTATCAATTATAAATTCTAGGTTGGTTGGTATATTATTTAATTTCAGGAAGGTACCATAACATAAATAAAACATACCTTTCTTCTTCCTTCCTCCTTCCGATCAAAAGCACATTGTTGTTTGCACTGTTCACAGGTCTGAGGTGGTCCATACTTTTTTTCTGAATTTGTGCAACGCTGACACTTGGTACCAATAAATGCTGCAATTATGTTACAGTACTGACAAGGTTTTGGCTGAAAAGCAGACATACATTTTGACTGAGACATTAAAAAACATTCAAGTTTGCTGCATAAAGTTCCTTACATATAAATGGAACTCTAGGATAAAATTAAGGAAACTAAAAGGTAAAAAACTGGTTTTYGCTCAAATATGTCATCTGCCATATTTAATAACGCTTATGTTTCTATTCATTCAATTAATATTTATTTGTAGAGTCATGAAACTCATTGTTACTCTATTAGAATGTTTAAATGATAAGATACATTTTCATACAAAAGCTGCACATAAAAAAAGCCTCAAAGAATTAACATAAAAGAATATAGGGACATAAAAAAAAATCTCATATATCCAAATTTGAGGAATGAACTTCTAATAATATCCTGTTTAGTTACTGTGTCATTTGTGCAAAAAAAAAAAAAATTAACCTTTTGTCATATAAAGGAACACATAAAAATAAACTATAGGTCAATCTTCAACTTAAAAAATTGACAAACATGTTCAACATAAATTATAATAAAAATATCTTGATATACTTGAATATTCAAAAGACAATTTTGATTAGTAGTCTTAATGTGAACATTTTGACCAATAATGTTGCCAATATACCAATAATTGCTATAGTACACTCGTAAGACAATTTTTATTAGTGTATTGTTATAATTGTTGTGAATAAGTACCTGAACTATATTGTTGTATAAAAATAGTTCTAAAGAGAAAAAAAAGAGTTTGTTTATGCAAATTTTATGGCTAAGTAGATTCTCAAAAAGAAGTCCTTTATATTTAAATGTTTAAAGAATAACTTTATACACAGTACTTAAAAAAATGCACAGTTTGTTTTTAAATGTAGTCTTGACATAAGACTATCTACAGAAAATTTCTCCCATGAAGTATTTTGATATGTTTGAATACATAAGAACATAACACTATATAATTTCTAAAAGTTTTTGTCTTTGTGACAAACATTAACTGACCAGTAACAAAAAAAATCTTAAGACATACTTACGGTCCCAAATTGCTTCACATTTTGAGCACACTTCTTACAAATTGTATTCGTTTTGCTGAAAGGAAAATATATATAGATGACCACATTATGCAGTTTTCTGGGGTAATCAGCACAGCGTTGAGCTAAATGTAGTACCTAAAACTTTAATTTAGTCCACACATTTTATTCAAAAAAGATAAACTTAAAGATTTTTTTTAAGGTTGTTTTGTCCAAATTTACTTCTCTTCCATTAACTTAAGTCAAATGTTATACTTCTTTATTGGGTATTTTTTTGTAAAGGGAACAAAACAAAAAATCCTAATTTCTCCTCTCTAGTTTTACCATTTTCACACGTCACCATTAATGCACAGAATTATCAGTGCCTACCTAACTTTSTACTCAGCCATTCTCCCTTAATTTGATACCCACTCATGAAGAAATCTGTTGTTCTGTTAGGCTACTTTCTTGTATGTGCTCTCAAAGTGCCTGTTAAAAAAGTTTGTGCTATTCTTCTGCGAATCAGTGACTTGATTGCATGCTTGGAAGGCATTTGGTAACACTACTAACCTTTCCTCAAGTCCATTAACATTTTGGATTTTAACAGCAATTTTTATATTTGCATTTTTGTTATCAAGACTGAACATTTTCCATTTATCCCTCTTTTTTAAAATTTACCCCTCTTTTTTTCATGTATAAACTGAACTCTAGTTGTAAAGTAAAAATCAGGTATTTTTTGTCAACATTCTCTGTCCCACCATACATAAAAGGTTTATAAMTTAAAACTTAAGAAACTAAGGCATCCCATATCAGAGTAACACAGAWATGGGATTATAATCCCCAAGTATTCCTTAGACAACATTTGTTTTTAACAATCAAAAACTATTCAGTATACAAACCTTTCTTGTTGAAATTCTGATCTGCAGTAAGTACATTTTACAATGGGATGTGCAATCCGACATTCCTGTAATAAGAAAATACATTAGTCAGCATCTACCTCAAAGTCCTGAATCTCACTTTTCTGGTAGAAAATTATTACCCAACCTAATCAAATGTCTAAAACATCAATAAAACCTGGCCCCCAAAGTAAAAAAACTGGGTGACTTATCATGTAAGTGGCCAATCACAACATAATTCCTTAGGGAAGGCATAGTTGTCTTTGTCTTCATTAGCTATGTGGGATATATTACAGATAATTTAAGAAAGCTGTCAGGGATGATTTCAAGGGTTGGTTAAATGTGAAACTACTTGTTATTTTACACCGTTGCTCACAGACAGCATCYTGGCTTTAATGGGATGGGAGGAGCTCCAAATCATAGAGCATTCTGTTCCCAAACCAGTCGCTTCGCTTTCCTGGACAGGGAAGAAGGATGCCATCAGCTTTGCGGCTTCAGGTTCCTAGCAAGAAAGTGCAAAAACCGTCCCCTGCCTCCTGGTGGAAGGAGAGGACAGACCAGGCAGAAAACCAAGATGAAAATATCTCCACCCCAGGGTTTCTGCGGCATAAGACAGGTGGCTGCTTCACTCAGCCCCACCCGAGACCCTCGGACGGTAATGGGGCCCGGCTCCCTCCTGGACTGCCTGGAAGAGGGTAGGATGCTGTCTCCCCTCAGGGGTCTTTCCCACCTGATGCCCAGCCCTCGGATAAAAGGGTCCCAAGGTGCGGAGGTARGACTCCACAGACTCCCAAACCCCGAGGCGCCAGCGAAGAGCCGGGTGTCCTGCAGCGGGCACCCAGCCCCTCGGGATGAGGCAAAGGAAACCCCGCCCGCCCGGTGCCCACGGACCTTGCAGAGCTGYTGGCCCTGGGAGAGCTCCTCGAAGGGATAACGCTGGGTACACTTGGTGCAGGCGTAGAGGGCCGAGGCCGCCATCCTGCTCCTCAATCTCCTCCTCTACAGCCGCCCGCTCCGAGGCGGGGCCCTACGGAGAACTCGGGCGCCGCCGCTGCCCGGGCCGCGGACTCCTCCTCCTCCCCCACCCCCTTCCTTTCGTCCACCAGGGCCTCACCGCAAGAGCCCCAAGCTCCGCGGACACCGCTGTCTCCCTCCGCCTACACTTCCGCCCCAGCCCACCCAGTGACGCTGTCCCAGCCGCTCCCGCTRAGGTCCCGATAGCGGCGGAGGGAGACGAAGCGGGTAGCTCAATGCGGTTTAGCTGCGCGACCGCGGATCCGCTTCCTTCTCCACCTCGCTTCCGCAACCCTGATTGGCTGCGGAGGACAYCGCGTCACTCGGCCGCTCCTCCCAACCCCTAGACCCGGTTACGCGGGAGCGCCCACAAAGGGAGGAAGGCGCTGGCCAATAAGAGTCCGACGCTCTCAGAGCGCGAAATCCACTTCGAATCTGCCCCGCCCAAAAGTCCAGGTCGCCGCAGGTTCCAGCAGCGTATCTTAGATTTGGGTCAGGGCTCCCCAATCCAATTGGGCAAATGTTCGCGAAGGTTTGCTTTCTCTTTCTGCTCCTTTTCATTTGACTTTCATTAGACTAAACCATTAAGCCCCTCCTATTTTGTTATTGGTCAGAAGGTCAATACTTCACCTGGAGAGGCGTCCCCGAGTCTAGCTCACGCTCTCTCGCGGGTCAAATCCAAAAGAAATGATGGAGTGTTTGAACTTCCCGTTCGTTTTTATTCTGCTTCAATCATTCCATTCAGTTGCCACTGGCGACAACACAAACCCTGGCTCACATTTCCTCTTGGAAAGGAATCCCCTTTGTAGAATCCCTTTKCAGAATTCCCTGAGTTGCCTAGCAGCCGGCAGCGCTACCAGGCCCTGGCAGACGCAGCTGCGCGATACTTGTGACGTCACCGAGGAAGAGGCGAATTTTCTCCAACCAAAGGAAGACGTCCGCTTTTTTGATTGGCTATAGAAGACGTCTGTTAGGACGTGTTGTTGCCCTCTCCGCGTGCGCTGTGAGCGCGGGCGTCCCACTGGGGGTGTGTAGCAGGGGTATTTAGACCCGGCGCCACCACCCCCACCCCTCCCATCAGGGGTTCGGCTTAGGGTCGCCCCTGGGGGGCGGCTCTCGAGTCTTGAAGTAGTAGAGAATCTAGACCGCTCCGGAGCTGCGGAGGCCCGCGCTGGGCAGACAGAAAAATGGCGACGGCATCGGTCTCTGCAGTTTCTGATTCTCAGTTCTCGGTAAGAAGTGATCGGCATTCGAATAGGCTTTAGGTTGGTTCCAGCGCCTTTTTACACTTCCACTTTTCAGGCCGTTTTCGGTTCCTCTTCTGACCCCATCCTGGAAGACAGCGTGGGGGGGGGGGTACCTAGATGGCTCCACGCTGCGCAGGTTTCTACTATTCCTAAATCATAGCTACACCCTCTAGCTTCCATTGAAACAGGCTGGTGCGTTTCTATTCTCATCCCTCATTCGCTTTGTGGCCTAGCAGGCCAGATTGCCTAATGTTGCTGAGACTGGGCTTTGGCAGATCCTAGCCTGCGAAAACAGCTCCATTAGTCACGTGAGTGTAACGGCCACCCTTGAAAACTCGCCTAGGCCAGGTAGTCACTGAGCGGTGCGCTTGARTGTGCGTTTTAGTCGTTGCTTATGCAGTTTTCTTTGCAGTGCCTCCGCCTCCTATCTCATGAACTTTGTTGCGTGACCCTTTAGCTAGAGCCCGCGCTTTCTGTAATGTTGCTAGGACTGCAATGTGGAAGTGCTGTTTGGGAGAGTCCACAGAGATAGTAAACATTGTTTTCACCACAAGAGTTACCAACCAGTTTAGTCACTGGTATTTGGCAAATAGAAGTGATGAACTCGGTGTTCTGGAAAATGCACACTGGGAAGACACAAGTAAATGTGATTAAGTTGGAGCCAATTTATAAATATTCAGTGCCTTGCAGACTGTTAAACTTTAAAATTACTCAGATGAATAGGATAGAAATCTAACTCTGAAGGAGAGAAGCATTGAAGAGAAGTTATGCATAGATAATTATTACAGAGTACAGTTTTATAAGAGATACCTTTATTAGAATAGTTTAAGGTGGGCGGTGATTAGCAGTTCTTGGGTAGGTTAGAGAAGATTTCCTAAAGGGAAAGTGGAACTAGCTACCTACTGAAGGAGTTGTAATTGTCACAAAAATAGCAGGAGAAAGCACCGCAAGAATTTTGATCTTTAGCGACTGGCTTATTTCACTCAGCATGATAATCTCCAGATTTACCATTTAGAGGCAATTGTCATAAAGTTATTCACAGTGAGTAAATCTGACATAATTTTCCTGTGTGTGTGTGTGTATGTGTGTATATATATGAMTACATCACGGTGAATCAATCCCACCATCGTGTACATCTACAAAAGTGGGGTCCTAAATTAGAATAAGATATATACTATGCTTGTATTATAGTTATAATAGTTATATAAAATAGATTCTACTGTCTTGTACAACTAAAAACTAATTTTAAAAAAGAATTTTGAGATATRTGCCAAGACAAATAGATACTTTTTGAGGAAACTTGAGATAATCTGGAATAAACAGAGGTAATATGAAAGTAGAATTGGATGAGATGAACTAGAAAAGTAGATGAAAATGAAAAAAGAGTAAAGAAGTCAGAAGAATATCAATAATTTCATAGACACTAAAAGAGAATTTAGGGGAATGCATAGTCACCTGGGGAAGTCATATTTTCCCTTATTTTCAGTTTTTTGTGACTATGATTAGAATTTTTGATAATGAGACCAGAAGTATCACAGGTATCCTTAGAATAGGGTAACAAGTTTCCAGAGCCTTCTGGGAGATTAAGGAAAAGTAATGAGTGAAGCAATGGGAGTTCTTCAAGGATTAGATCAGAAAAAGGTAAGATAAAGAGAAACTGTTAGAAACATGTCAGATGATTGAATTATACAGGGGATGTGATTGATTGAACTTGGGAGAGGAATACTTTTTTCCATTGCTCTCAAAACTTAATGATTGGAGACCAAACCAGAAAGACTTCTGAGCCATTCTATATATAATTCAGCCACTTGGTTGAGCAGTGCCACTGAGATGTAGTAAACCCTTGGTCCTTACAGTAGCTTTGAACAGAAATCCTTCCAGAGTTTCAGTTAGGAAAGCATAGATATTTTTATTGTATTAAGCTCAGCTTTAATTGGATTCTAAGTATCAAGACTATGCTAATATTTTTACAAGTCAGAGTGCAACAAGTTTAATTACCTTGACTTGCTGCATTAAGATGTCTAATTTAGAAGTTACTATTTCTCAAAACAAAAACAAACTTACTTGGTTTCTCAGTGCACAAGAAATGGCGCTACTTAGTAAATGTCCCATTAGAAATAAAGCTGTCATTTACAAAGAATTTGAAAAGCACTTTAGATTAGCAAACAGCCGATAATAAGTAATACGATATTAGAAAACTTTAAAACTACAACATGAAACCAGAAGGCTACTCATTAAGATGTCAGGGTTGTGAATATTAACAATTTGTATGTTTTACATTGAAAACCCAATACCAAACTAATTACAATAAATGGAGATGTTTTACACAAATAATAATCTTTAGAAAGCAGCTACCATATAAATCTCAAACATGGACAACATGAGAGCAGTAGTCAGTCTTTTTGGAGTATTTTTTTTTCATTGCAGCAACAGCAAGATTAGCAACAGCAGGTAACATTTATTGTTTGTTATCAACTCACTGTTAAGAGACAACAGGAATACAACATAATTGGGCTTAATGAAATTAATACTAAGTAAAGATATAGATAACATAGTGTTGAAACAGCAAAATGACTTTATGTTCCTTCTGTTAATTTTTAAAAATTTATTCATTTATTTTTATTGATTTTTAATAAATGACAACAGAATGCATTACAATTCATATTATACATAAAGTATGTTCACACCAATTCATGTTTTCATACATGTACTTTGGATAATGTTGTCCATCACATTGCACCATCATTGCTAACCCCTTGTCCCTTCCTTTCCCTTCCACCCCTCTGCCCTATCTAGAGTTTGTCTATTTCCCCCTCCCTATCCCACTATGAATCAGTCTCCTTATATCAGAGAAAACATTCAGCATTTGTTTTTTTGGGAGAAGCTAACTTCACTTAGCATTATCATCTCCAGCTCCATCCATTTACCTGCAAATGCCATGATTTTATGATCTTTTATTACTGAGTACTATTCCATTATGTATATATGCCACATTTTTCTTATTCATTCATCTTGTGAAGGGCATCTAGGTTGGTTCCACAGTTTGGCTATTGTGAATTGTGTTGTTATAAATGTTGATGTGACTRTGTCCCTATAGTATGCTGGGTATAGACCGAGGAGAGGGAAAGTTGGGTCAAATGGTGGTTTCATTCCAAGTTTTCCAAGGAATCTCCATGCTGCTTTCTATATTGGCTGCACCAATTTGCAGTCCCACCGGCAATGGATAAGTTTTTTCCCCACATCCTCACCAACACTTAGTGTTGTTTGTCTGCATAGTAGCTACCATTCTGACTGGAGTGAGATGAGATCTTAGAATAGTTTTGATTTGCATTTCTCGAATTCCTGGAGATAATGAACATTTTTTTCATATATTTGTTGATTGATTATATATCCTCTTCTGAGAAGTGTCTGTTCAGGCCATCTGTTAATATTTTCTTAATCCATGTGTAACACCCTTATGTCACTTTGGACTTAATAAATTAATCTCCTAATTTGTCTTAAGCTTTTTAGTCCTGTCCTTTAACAAAGTAACACAGTAGCTTCGTATTAATTTCCATGAATTTTTTTTAATATATCATAGATTTTATAATATGAAATATATTTTAAGATATATTTTATTTGGGGGGATAATAAAGTGAATGCTTCCCTGCCTTTTTTTTAATCTTTCCGTTCTTCCATCCCACACTACTGTACTTTCTAAGACCATAATATTTAATACTTAGATGATACTGACAGGCATTATTTTAAGCATTTTTTCATATATGAAATCATATAATTCTCACAGTAACCTTGTGGGGTTGACATATTTACATTTTCAAATGGGCAAAGTGATGCATGAAGTTAGTCAAGGGTAAGAGTTCATCTCATTTATACTACTRTGTAGTATCTTGATAGGCTTTGGGGGTCTTTGGGTTTTTTGTTTGTTAGATATTATAACAATCTTGAAATCCTTAATGCTCAACATGGCAAAAATTTCTCTAAACAGCAGTTTTGGAAGTGATCTAGGGAACTTTAGGCGGGTCTCTAAAGGGTTCTCAGGGAGTCTACAAGATTCTTTCTTATTCAAGTACGTGTTTGTGTTTGCTTCATATGTCAACCAAAATATACCAAATGCGAAACAAAAAGTTTGCGAGGGGCAGATTGGCTTATAAAATATGTGTTTGGTTTATGCTTTTTCATTTTCAAAAATGAGAGAATGAAAATAGTTCAGTAGGTGTACTTGTGAATGAAATTGATTTATCATAGAATAGGTACAACTTTGGCTTACTCATGCTAAATTGTTTTTCTATGTATATGCCAACCAACAGTCCTCTTTATTCTGTGTCCCCTTTGATGGGTAATATTATTCCACTTGTAAATTTTTTCTAAGGGGTAAGTTATAAAATGTTATCCTATTCTCTAATTTATGCTTCCCTAGTCATTGATGAGAATGCACCTTTTTGACTCATACCTTTGCTAGTCTTTTGTGTGTTTTTCTTTTATGAAATGCCCGTCCATGTCTTTTGCCTATTTTTTACCGGGCTGTTTTTTCTTTTTGATGTATACTCATTTGTGTTCTGAATGTTAATCCTCACTCTTATGGGACTAGTCCAAAGACATCTTTGCTTGTCTTTGGTATTTTTTGATTAATACTTAATACTAAAGTGGTAAAATTTGTCAGTCATTCCTTTCTACAATTAGTGATTTGAAAAATTCTTCGTTCATTCTAAGATCTTAATGGTATTATTCTAAATTATTTACTATACATTTTAAAGTTACAGCTTTTAAATTCTAATTTACTTGAAATTTATTTAATTTAATGTTTTATTTAAGATGAAACAATTGTCCTGAAACTACTTGTTAAAAAGTTAACCTTTCCCCAAAGGTCCACAATTTTAGCTCTGTGAGTATATTAATTTCCATGTTTTTATTAGTTTGTTAGGGTGCTTTGTCCTTTTTTTGTTGTTGTTTTGGTTTTTCTTTCTAGATACTCACTGTCTTAGTGATTCTCCTTTCTATATGTATAGTTAGGAGTGAGGGGCGGTTATCTTCTTTGTTCTTAAGAGAAATGTTGGTATTCTTGGTCTTCGATTTTCTTCAATAGAAATAGTTGAACTTGTTTTTGGAATTTTAATTGAAATTTCATTGAATTTCTGTTTTAATCTGATATTTTTTAGTATACTGAATCTTTTTTCCGAACATTAATTCTAGTTAACTTTTTTATTGTATGACCTATGCTTTCTTAAGTTGCATTTTCCAACTAATGTATAGAAATACTGATTCTTGTACATGAATTTTACCTAGTAACCTTTCCAGGCTCAAATTAATTCTAATAATTTAGTATTCGTTGGTGTTTTTTATTTAGAAAATCATAATCTGTGAAGTTTGGATTCTTTTCAATTGTAGTATCTGTTCTTTTCGATATCCTAATATGCTTAAATTTAAGAGATGCAATTTAGTATTAAGGACACCAACTAGAAGTTGTGCATAGGGCTTTGTTTCAAATTTTGCAAAATGAAGTATGTTTGCCATGGTTTTTGATGAAGTTTTATATTGCCATAAAATAATTATTCTTTGCTGGATAATGAATGTTATTCAGYGCTCTCATTCTTGTTGATCATGTGGATTTTTACTTGAATGAGGTGGATTACATTGAAAGATATTATAATGCAATCTAGTTTTTCATTTCTAGAATATCTTTACCTTGATCATATTATTTACCTTCTTGTTTTCACAGCAATAGTGTATGTTTTATATYTCCTTTTGTAAATCAACTGAGAATTTATGTGATTTCTAACATGAAAGTAGAATAAGTCCTTTGAGGCAAGGACAATATCTCTCTTTCTTTAAGTTTTGGACACTAAAATATTTAAGAAGTATTTTGTTGCATTTGAGAATAATTTGTAGCAATCTCTCATTCTGTATATTTACTTTTCTGAATGTATGTTTCATGGTATATAYTTAAGATACAATATTTGTTGAGTACCATTTTTTTTCTATACAGTGTTTGTATTTAGATTGTGAGAGTATTCTTTGTAGTGTTTGGCATATGGCTACATTTAGACAAATATGAAACACTTTTAAAGTTGTATTTCCTTAAAATAAATGATGGTTGAATTCTACTGTGTATAGTTATTGGGCTCTTTTTTCCCATTGTCTCTTATCAGAAGAATATATAGACAGTTCAATTTTTAAGTCATGAATATGGTTTCAATTTTTGAAAAGTAATTTCTGTATTTTTATTTTTCAGAACATCTCAGCTGAACCATCAAGGTCTAATAGGGGTGTGGTTCGCCATTCTTCATCTCCTTATGTATCATATCCATCTGATAAGCCTTTCCTTAATAGTGATCTACGACGATCTCCAAATAAGCCTACCCTTGCCTATCCAGAAAGCAATAGTAGAGGTAATAAACCCTGATAAAAAGATGCTGCTTTTGTTTACCTGCTGCTTTAAAATTGTTGTTTTTGTTCTCCGTTATTTCAAAAGTTGAGAAATATGTTTTCCCCTTTACTGCCTGTTTTTAGCCTACTAAAAATATGCTTTTTTGGGTGCTCTTTATTTTGATTGGTGAACATAATCATCTACCACATCACTTAAGGAAAAGTACTTTGAATCGTACCTCACTAGTCTATCATCTTCAACATGAATCAGGATCCTAGACTGTGTTTTTACTTCAGTAAAATGCAGTAACTCAAAAGCATTTTTTTTATTCTGATTTCATTCACATTCTTATCTGTTATCTAGTATGTTCATAGAAAACTAACAAATATCTATGCCTTTCATCTCCTTCTGATCCCCCACTTAACATCACTATCATTTATTATGTCTCTCACTTTAAACAAAGTTTCAGCACCTCTCCATGGCTCACATAATAATGAAGTCTTAGATTTCCTACAACTTAAACCCTGTCTGCCTTAGTAAATTCATCCCCACCTCCTTTCTTAAACATTCTTTGTTCTTGCTACTTGAAATGTATTTGTTTTTAGAGCTTGACATCTATGTTAATTTTCTTTTTTAAAATTAATTTTTAATTGGCACATTGTAATTACATAATTGTGGAAGACATTGTGACATACATGTACCTCTGTTGGTTTTCTTGCCTGCCTTAACAAATACCACGAACAGCTGTAATCTGGCAATTTAGGAGACTGAGGAGGAGGATAGCAAGTTCAAGGCCAGCCTCAGCAATCTTACAAGAGTGCTTGCCTAGCTCGGGTGAGGCACTGGGTTTGATCCTCAGCATTATATAAAAAATAAATAAATAAAATAATCATAAAATATAAATAAATAAATAAATAGGTATACATATATATTTATATGTTATATATAATTTTATAAATATGTATATATATATTTTTATGGACTGGGGATGTGGCTTGATGTTAGAGGGCCTCTAGGTTAAAGCCAGACACAATAAATATATAAACACAATGCCACAAACTAAGCCACTTTAAAGAACACAAATTATTCTTGTTGTAGTTTTCTATAGGTCAGAAATCTGGGTGGGTTCTTCTCTGTTGACAGTCTGATATAGTTCAAATCTAGGTATTGACTGGGCATATTCCCTCTGGAGATGCTAGGGACTATCTGCTTCCACACATTCATATTCTTGGCCAAATTCAATTCCTTGTTGATGCTGGACTACAATTTCATTTTCCTGCTGTCAGGACCAGTCTTCACCTCTCTAGACTTCTTATTCCTACTCATGCTTTCCTCTTGGTCTCCTATGGCAACAATGAATCAGGTCTCATATGCTTTAAATCTCTTTGACTTCTGCTGTGGCTACATTTCTGTAACCATAACTAGAGGAAACTTTCTACTCATGTAATTAGTTAGGTTCGGGAATAGTCTCAGTATCTTAAGAGCCATAACCTTATTAACATCTCTGAAAGTCCTTTTTGCTATGTATCATAATTCACCAGAGTAGCCAGAGATTAGGTTTCCATTTTGCCTATCATATCAACTTGAAGTTTGCAAGCCTTTCCCTTGTTTTCTCTCATACTGAAAATTTTTTTTATATTATTTTTATTTTTTAATTTCTCTTTTTTAATTTGTTCTTTTTAGTAAAACGTGACAGTAGTATGTGTTTTGACATATCATACAAACATGGAATATAACTTCCCATTTTTGTGGCTATACATGGTGTGAGTTATACTGGTCATGTATTCATATATGAACATAGGAAAGTTATGTTCAATTCATACTACTGTCTYTCCCATTCCCCCTCCAACCCTGACTCCCCAGTCCAATTCAGTAAACCTCCCCTTCTTGATCTCCACCACTGCCTATTGTGAGTTAGCGTCTGCATATCAGAGAGAACATTTGGCCTTTGGTTTTTTTGGGAGTGGCTCCTTTCACTTAACATGAAAGTCTCCACTTCCATCCATTTACCCACAAATACCATAATTTCATTTTTCTTTATGGCTGAGTAATATTCTCTTGTGTATATATACAATATTTTCTTTATCTGATCATCWGTTGAAGGGCACTTAAGCTGGATCCTTAGCTTAGCTATTGAGAATTGAGATGCTATGACCATTGATGTGGCTATGTCACTGTAATATGCTGATTTTCAATCCTTTGGGTAAATGCTGAGTGGTGGTATAACTGAGTCAAATAATGGTTCCATTGCAAGTTTTCTGAGGAACTATAGTGCTTTCAGGAGTGATTATACCAATTTGCAGTCCCATTAGCAATGTATGCATGTATGTTTTCCCCATGTCCTCACCAACATTGTTACTTGTATTCTTTTTTTTTTTTTTTTAAACTTTTGTTCTAATCAGTGACATGACAGCAGAATGCTCTTTGATTCATTATATTACAAATGGAGCACAATTTTTTACTTTTCTGCTTGTACTCACAGTAGGGTCACACCATTCATGCAATACTATGTGTACCTAAGGTAATGATGTCCTTCTCATTCCACCATCTTTCCTTCTATGCCCCTGCCCCCAGTATGGATTATTATCCACTTATCAGAAAACATTTGGCCCCTAGTTTTGGGGGATTGGCTTACTTCGTTTAGCATGATATTCTCTAATTCCATCCATTTACCTGCAAATGCCATAATTTTATTCTCTTTTATTGTTGAGTAATAGTCCCTTGTGTTTATATACTAGTTTCTTTATCCATTTATCTATTGAAGGGCATGTAGGTTGGTTCCACAGTTTGGCTATTGGGAATTGTGTTGCTGTGAACATTGATGTGGCTATGTCACTATAGTAGGCTGTTTTTAAGTCCTTTGGGTATAGACCAAGGAGTGGGATAGCTGGGTCAAATGGTGGTTCCATTCCAAGTATTCTAAGGAATCTCCACACTGCTTTCCATATTGATTGCAACAATTTGCAGTCTGACCAGCAATGAAAAAGTATTTTGTTGTTTGTTTTTTGTGGTGCCTGGGGATTGAACTTGGGGCCTGTGCATGCGAGGCAAGCACTCTACCAGCTGAGCTATATCCCCAGCCTCATACTGATATTTTCTTTGTCTGGAATTATACTTGTTCTTTAAAGCAAATATATATTATTTACATCAAGAGGTCTTTCTTTAGCTTCTCCAGCACATACCTCTCTGCCCTCCTCAGTGTTGTTTTTGAAATATCTTAATCCTTTGTTCATAACTTAAAGCCTTTAATTTTTGTGGATATAAAGGGGATGATGATTTTGGTGTCTGTCCTTCCKTTTGAAAAGCAGGTATTGTTGGATTGATGGAAGAAAACACTGTAAAAGTCTTCTATATCTCTGGGTTCTGAATCCATTGATTGAACCAACTGGTCAGCAATATTTGAGAAAAAAATTACATCTGTAGCAAGCATGTAAACTTTTTTCTTTGTCATTATTCCATAACACATCATAACAACTGTTTGCATAGCATTTCAATTCTTCTATTAGGGATGATTGAAGTATATGGAAGGATATGTGGTGATTGTATGTGAATTCTGCACCATTCCGTCTAAGGGACTTGAGCATCTATGGATTTTGGTATCTGGTGTKGGATGGGAAGTTTTTCATAATCATTGGATTGGATAACCATTGTATTACCAATGGATGTTGAAGGCCACCTGTATAATACAATATAACAATAGGATAATATCCCAAGACATTTTTAAAATAGTTCACCATGCTATTCTCTAAAGATGTAAAACAAACTTATTTACAGTTTTGCATGTTATTTGTCTTGTTTTTCCCATCATCTCCATTCCCCCCCTCCCCACTTTCATATTCCTTAAAATCACTACTGATGCAAAAACAGATTTTAGCTTTATTGTTAACATTACTGGGCTGAAAATTTTACTGATTGCTCTGTGAAAAAAAATCCACCTCCCCTCTAATTTTTCTTCATCCTTCATGCTTTAATAATTTGCTGTACTCTGAATTTTTTGTTTTCACAGATGGGAAGATCAGAACTAGATATAATATTGTAGTGGAAGTATTAATTTGTAATTCTCGGGTCTTGTGTTCCTACAGAGTTAAGAGCTCAATTGCATAGTTATTTTATTTTGTGCTTTTTTATTAAATATTTTTTTAGTTGTCAATGGACCTTTATTTTATTTACTTATATGTGGTGCTGAGAATTGAACCCAGTGTTTTACACATGCTAGGTAAATGCTATACCACTGGTCTACAATCCAAGCCCCTTGTGCTTATTTTTATTTATTTTTTATTTTTTAAAATTTTCTTTTTTAGATGTAGATGGACACAGTATCTTTATTTTTATTTGTGTATTTTTATGTGGTGCTGAGGATTGAACCAAGGGCCTCACACGTGCAAGGCAAGAGCTCTACCACTGAGGTACAACCCCAGCCSCCTTGTGCTTATTTTTAAGAAATTATAACTGAAAATTAGTGGGGTTTTGCTCCTTTGTGGGCTTCAGTTGTATATTTTTTTGCTTTTTTAACCTATGATGTTCTTTGAATATCATACAATTTTTGTTGGTTTTTTTTTTTAGATTGTCAGCCTTTAACTGCTATTCTAATGTGTAACGTCCTATCATTTGTTTTAATCATTTAGTTAATTTAATTAACATTATTTTTTCATCTTCATGGTATCTTATAAAGAGTTTTGCATCAAGTATTGGAATTCATAAAAGATTATCAGACTACTAGGGGAGGGGGGATTGTTAAAAGATACACCACAGAATTCACGTGTCTACCAAAGGGTTGCACAACATGCAAAGTGTTGCCAAGGAAAGGCCATTCCTATATGACTTAGACTAGAGCTTTTTTTTTTTTTTTTTTAAATATTTGTTTTATTTGTAGGTAGACACAATAACCTTTATTTTTATTTTATTTTTATGTGTTGCTGAGGATTGAACCCAATGCCTCATGCGTGCTAGGCAAGCACTCTACCAATGAGCCACAACCCCAGTCCCTTAGACTAGAGCTTTTATAGGAGATTAGTCGTAAAC